TTTATCATGCTGTAACCAGATAAAAGATCGGGAACAATTTCGATGAATAAAATTACCTACACCAATAAGATGCTGTCTATTCTGAACGATATTCTGAGATTCAGAGGCAGAAAGACCAGACAACTCAGTGGACGTCAGGCAGAGCATTAACAGAAAACTCTAGGTAATGAAGGTAGCTCAATCAACGAACCAACGTATAAATTTCGAAAGTCAATTTAAATCCAGGTTTCACAAACACACGGGCTTCCAAAACTTCACAAACCTGAATTTTTTATCTGGCCAACCTTGTCCATGTCTAACTTGTCATAACACAAAATAGCTGAATGGCTTACGAGACTAATGGAACCAATTCGAGTCCAAATTGTTCAACTCTGTCTGAAAGATAGTTTCGAACGCACTGGCTTACTTGTGATAGTGAATATTCAGAATAAATACTTATATTCATTTGGTATGCAGTAGCTGTTTATAAACGTTTCCGTGAACAAATGTATCGAATTCCTGCTTTCTTATACGGGGAGTACCAGCTAAAAGTTGGATTGCTCAAAATCGAATTGGAACAACCACCGCTGCTCTGTACCAAAGATGTCAGCTTAGTTTTCCAAGACTCGGCCTACAGACAAACTGATGGGGTAGCTTTGTGAACCCGCTCTGCCCTATTCTGGCAGACATTTTGTAGCGAAGCTTGAGCAACGAGTAACAGAACAGTTACCTATAGTGCAGCTATGCAAGCGATACATCGATGATATTTTTCTGATCGTAGACAATCAAATGCAAACGGAGCTTATTCGATCTTTGCACTCAAGCACGTATTTCAATGTGGAAGATAGGTAAAATAGTTTGACATTTCTGAATATGGGTAACAGAAGAAACGCAAACAGCTCGATTCAACAAACCATTCATCACAAGAGCACTTAAACGGGTCAGTACCTGCATTTTGAAAGCTGTGTTCCCTGATTCTATAAACAAAGTTTGATGCAGACGTTGTTGGTTTGGGTCAGAATATTCAAACTGAAGATACTGTTCAAGAAGAAGTGGCCATGCTAGAGACCAGTCTACAACTAAACGTTTTATCTAAACTGTTTATTGCAAGAGGTAAGCACACCCTTGGCGTAGGAGTTTGACCCGACTCAGTATACATGGAGTCAGTATTTCTTCGTCGTCTCTTTAACGGCGATGATGTATGCCAACTAATTCACCGTCTTGTGGTTAGTTCTATCACGAAGACATATAATAAAGTCTTCCCAATGATCCTATTTCGAACACTCCGGATCTCAACGCTGTATGTGAAACAACCGGTATCCGAGTCAGCCAAATCCAAC